CGTGCTATCAGAAACTTCCTGTTTCCCACTTATGAAGTCGTTAGCGCTTCATGTGAGCGCTGCTGCAGTCTTAGGCCCACCCCATATGCTCTCTCGTTGGTTGAGACGCGTGATGGCACCCATCCCAAGCCAGTAGCCTACTGATCAAACCCCACCCCTCCTGTGACCCATGGTTTGTATGTTTGTATGTGTATGTATGTGTATTCAGAGCCAGTGAGCATCGGACTTTCATAATAATAAAAAACTACGTTAACACGCGATAAAATAATTGTCTGCGTTAATCAATTAATGCATTAATGCGACAATAACGCGTTAACTTGCCCAGCCCTAATTTTAATGTTATTCCAAGGAAAGAAAAGAAAAAAAATATTTCGAATTGTATTAACGTCCTGCGCCTCCAAAGTGGCTTTTCTTTTTGACTGACATCACCAAGCCCAACCACTCCCCTCCAATCAGCTGTCATATAAAGACCACTTTTCTCCATTCACTCTGTTTCTCATGGTTAACATCAAATCCTGCCCTACATTTTCATGTGGAATATCCTTGTCACTCTGTCACTCAGTTTATGAAATGTTCATTTTATGACAGTAACTTGAACTGAACTGACTTGAATGACTTAAAGAAAATGTTTTAATGTTTTGTTCATAAAGACAAGCACATGGTGACAGCAGCAAAGAAAAACTCTCTGTTTGGAGACAAAGAAGGAAAAACAACATGTAGAGTAATCTCAGAAAGAAAACCTATCCTCTATACTTGATTGACAGTTGTTGTAGTTATCTGAAAGTTCTTCAAAGTCTCTTGAAGAATGCCAATGCTCCAGTGTATGAACTTGTGGTAAAACTGTGTCGATATTTGTAAACTGGTGCTGGGAATTTAAGAATCAGGTACATTATTAGGTGAAAGAGCCACCATGGTTGTGTATTTCCACAACAAAGAGGTCAGTCAAATCCTGTAATGAAAGTTTTGTTGTGGTGCCAGTGTTGATCGACATCTTGCTCTCTCTCTCTCTCACGCTCCCTCCCTTTCTTCTGTCTGTCTTTCATGAACACACATAAATGCACACTTTCACACCCCCCCCCCCCCACCCACCCCCCCCCCC